AGTAGTAGTTCTTATTCAATCCACATCACCTTCCTTATCACCATCTGCTGTTTTGAAGCCCACCGTAAATTTCGCCTACTCTAATTTCTAAATTACACCCGCCGAGGGAAGGAACGTTGTAACCATGCTTTTGAACCCCGTTTTCGTGATTGAGAGGTTAGGATTTAACTAATGTCACATACACGAAAACAATGCACTAGAAAAAAGCATGCAGCACAACGGCTGACACTTACAGTTCAGTTAAATTTCTTAAATCTCTGAAAGAACCAGATTCAATTTCGCGAATGTCATTACCATACAGATCTCTATTTAAAATGAAAATGCATTCAGAGATAAATTGAAATAGATTGAATGATTGATCGAGGGGCTGATTAAATTGAAATTATGACCAGTAAAGGTTACAAATCACTCAAAAACTACTGAGGCAAATTAAACCTGTCGATGTTATAAGGCTGTATTCCACTTCAACTAAAACAAATATTTTAAACAATACATTTCTTTGTTTCTATCCATGGAGCAATTACCATGATGGGACTAATGACTTCGATACAAAAGAAATGGTCCTGCAGTTTTATACGCAGCTAATGATATTATATTAAATTACCCAATCATGTAAATCTTGTGATGCCCATGCGAAGTTTGGCGTCATATGCCTTGTACATATACTAGATACACATGCATGCAAGAAACACCACGCCTTTATTTCCCAAATATTGTTTCAACATGAAGTATTCCTCCGAATTACGCCAACACTAAACGTGGGCTCGTGTTGCTAGCGTTATGTGAGCCACGGCAACACAATCATTGTTTTTTAAAATTTGACATTTTAACACTTTTTACGAACTAACAATTTCTAAACTATAAAAAGTAGGTATGCTATTTTGCATTCTATGGGCTTTATTTTAATGCAAAATTCAACATGCACGAAACGTTTCGTAAAGCGTTTTTAAATCTTCACTAAAATTAACAGCTTTTTGCCCATTATCTCATCAACTTTAATATTACTTCTTCCTTGAAATGAAACAAATTTTAATCATGCAGGTCTCTCATGAAAATAGTTTGCTCTCCTTTTATTTTGAGATTTATTAAACATTAAATCAAGCATATACAATGAATGAAAAGGAAAGCTGTACAAATTTTAGGCAAATAGTGAACAACAAAGTCATACATAAACAGTCAAAACAAACTTTACTGAGCCAAATTTTATCGTTTCTTTAAAAATTGAAAAAATGCATTACAACTTATTGAGTGAAATGATTTTCCAAGCTTTCTTGCATGTCTTCTTCTATCTTTGCTTCCTTCATTCCTAGCCAACAGCAATATTTTTGAGATCAGTGAGCATGACCACCCACGCACGATAAAACATAGCCATGCGCCCGCGATTATTGATGAACTTTAGACCTCGCTAATGCTTTCATTTTCCCGGGTGTAAATAGCCTTGCGGAATTAATACCCTCTCTCGACCTAGGCACTGGGATAAGCCTTGGAATTTATTCAAAAGTAGCATGTTTTCGCGGTTGTGGTCAATTGCTTACAATATTTGAAGGGCTGTCAGATTTCCAAACCAAAACGCTCTCACAACCATCAACTTGTTATTCCTAAGTATCCTAAGCAAAGGAAACGTTAAATATTTTATGGCACACAATAAATGCACTGTGTTTTACAAGTGAGTTCTCAACGTTATGCTCTCAAAACAATCTATATATCATCTATTAATACAGTCAGCAGATTTAACGTCCCCCATGAGCAAGGCTTATAGTAATTTCCGCGCGTTTATAACATATTATTGAATAGACGCATATGATGAGAAGATAAGATTAATTTTTAAATGTGTTTCGAACTCCAGACTAATTTTTTATCAGTTGTCTTTAATATACGCTATCCTAGCTACAGTGTCTCGTTTTCGTGAAATTGAGACATTATGCTCTAAGTAATATCTCATAGACAAAAACGAGATTTTATAGCCAATTAAAGTTACCAGGACCGGAACTATACTGGAGAAAAACCGCATAAGGGAGCCCAACCGCCCCAAAGGGGACCCCGGAATACTTGAATTGCGGAACGTGTTAAATATTAAGGAATATTCTCCCGGAAAAATTGAGGTCGAGAAAGGTCTTAAAAAGGATTTTTAACCCCCCCCCCCCCATCATCGCAAAATAGCGTTGGGAAAAATTTTGAAACGTTTTATTTTCGAAAAAGAAAACCGTCGAAAAAACTACTCCTCCCCCTAGAGCAATGTTAGTTCATTTAAAACTTTTATAATTGGATGACAAGTCCACATTGATATTGTGAGAGGGAGTGGGGAAATTTGGAAATTTTTCAGTACAGTCTAATGGAATTAATTTCAATTTTTGAAGTAATTACATAATGCAACATGTTGTTTATATCAAAATATTTGTCAGTGTCCGTACCAGCCCTCAAATTGGGGGGGGGGGGGGGCAAGGTAGGGATAAACCAATCACTGAGCGAGGGTTTTAAACTTCAATGTAAGAATTATTTTTAATAAAAAGTTAGAAAAAGTATCCTAACGCTAGTCATAACCATGCCGTTCATTTGCATGACAATAGACAATCGTGCAAGTGCCGTGAAGTTCAGAAAATGTTTTTAGAATGCCACTTATACATGTTGGAAATATTTTTTCACATTTTCCACAAATTCAAACAGCACATGTTTGTATATTTATGGTGCCATGCAGGTGATAATTCAAAGCTTTATTTTCCCTGGGTCTTCTATTCATGTAATTTAATTTTTATCTTTAATTTTCCCTAAAGTAGCGTGTTAAAATAAAAAAATCTGGCTAGACATTCAAAAGTGGAGCAGGAAAAATATGGGTTGGGCAAATGCCCCTCCTTGCCCCTCTTGGTGGCTACACTGTATAATATCTCTCAAACTTGTAGTAAGCATGTCGAAAATCCTCTCAAATCTGTGTAAGCCCACACCTGTATAATATTCGGTCATCATGTTACGATTGAATGAATATTAAAACTTAATGAAGATGTCAAACAAAATAAAATACTATCAAGGTCATCGCAATCGTTTTTATACTTACAGTTTCTTCAGAAAGTACAGGCCACTAAACGTGTTTTCTTCTATATCAGTGATTTCACCATTTGTTACATTACTAGGAACGAATTAAAATACATAATGGAAACTGCATCTGATGTGTATTTTAAGTATTAAGACGCCGCAGATCTATGCAGAGTATTGTTAACTTGTAAAATTTTATATTAATTGTACTTTACGGGAGGATGGTCAGAATATGAATTATATACATAAAATTCAGAATTTGGTTATATATATTATTAACGCAACAAACAGCAGATATTCTTATAATGACAGGTATCAGAGAAAACCTTGTATTAAATGTGATCAAGAAATGCGTACGCAGGATTTTGTGTCTTGTGTAGCTACAAACACTTGGTTTTGTCGTTTCTGATTGTCCTCTACGTGCACTGTGGAGTTTAGCGCAGTCCTTTGGGACTTTATACACAAGAAAAATAGGGAGCGATCGTAGAATTAAAACCTCGTGCGAGGCTGCACGTTGTAGTTGCACAAGTATCCCAATGACAGAAGAGTGGGTTAGCGTCCAAAAAATTATCACAAACACTTTTATTATGCACTTGATCATCTTGGACGAAAAATATTTATAAATCTTTGGAATGGGGGACAATTATGAGATAGACTATAGTCATTGTATCATTGTTTATTAGTCAGTGATTGTTAAAACTGCTCTGGATGTCGTTAACAAACCCTAAATGCCAGTTTCGAGCCAGGTTTTAATAATAATTTTTTGGTTTGTTTCATGTTCATTCATCTTGAAGTTCTTTGCAACAGGAGTTTCCTATATTGGTCTTGTATAGTATTTATTAATTCTATAGCCTAGTTTTCTTATGAAATAACGTTAAATTAGCAGTACAAACTTTAGGTTTACCAGTAGCACAACCTAAGTATCGAATTTCTGATGGAATCATAGATGCATGCATGCAGTATAGTATCAAAATGTTTGAGATTTGAAATAGCCAACCTATACTTAATTTTTTCTGGCAAAATTATTCTGATAGGCCCTATTAATATATGACCCAACTTAGCGATGAGAAAAAATAGTTTCCGTATAATAGTGAATTGTACATTATTTTGTAGCGTTCATGCAAAAGCGGAGGGGAAATCATGATTTAGCTTTCAAGAAATATTTCACCAAATGAACAAAAGTGTGCAAAATTTGAGGTAAAAAGTCGTCGGAAATATAGATCGCAGTGGTTCAGTGGTAATTCAAATGAGAAAATTTAAATGCAATTGCTTGAGAGTAGATCAGCATGCATTTGCTGCTTAGGACACTTTTTGATAGCTCAACGGTGTACTTATTACTCACATGCTTGTCGTGTTATGGGATAGAATTGGCAGTTTCGTCAAGTTGTTCGCTATGAGATTTCTTTCTTCTCCAGCTGAAAGACAGGGACACACATGGAATTATAGGAGTAGATGAATCTAAATTATTGGTTTGATTGACATATATATAGCAGCATGAGCTCGACCTTACTACATGAGTAAATTGTTACACACGTCCAAAATTATTAAATTTTGATACAATAAATTCGCGCAATAACTAATTATTGGGATAGATGAACTTAACCCCCATCTAACCCCGACTCTAACCTCTAACTCTATATAATTTTAATCTAACCCTAATCTAATCTTAATCTGACCACGTTGGTCAAATTTAGCAAAATTTCTCCCATTCGTGCGTATTGTCAGCGGACATCTTACAGAAAGTGGGCAGTTCTGTGCAAAATGCAAAGGTTTCAATTTTTCACAACAAGCCCGCTGAAAATGCGAGCCTGCGGTACTGGAAGAAAATTTGCTGAATATGACCAGCGTGGACACTAATCTAAACTTGATGACCTTTTTTTAATAATCTCTAATAATATTCAATTTTTAAAAAAAAATTTCTTAAACGTTCTAATAAACGATTTATGGGCATGATAAAGTTTCATATCCGCTAGGAAACGTATACATTAATAATATTAATCTCTCTTTAGAAAGCGAGAACTTTAATTTGTTTGCTGTATGTTTTCAGCTTGTTTTAAAAGGTACGGTTCAAGATTAAATTATCTCGCAAATTTGTCCTAGCTTATCTTTCTTGTGTATTATTGCCCTCACTATATAGAAAACCTATTTTTCAGTAAAAATCTAAAGAGAAGATGCAGTAAAAATGGACACGGTGCATGCGTTTTTCCCGTATCCCCCGATAAATATGCTGTTGGGAATATAGTTTCCAGTAACCTTATGTGACATTAATAAAATCTTAATTAATGAAGAAGAGATATGTTATTAATGTTGCACTAAGTAAACAAACCTTTAACGAGAGAAATCCACAATAAACTGATAATTATAATGGACATCAAAATATCATTAGTCCTGGGTTGTAACATGACTGCACCTGCAGTAAAGTTTAATTAAAACGAACTGTTTACTTGTAGATATAATCTCGAACTGTCTGTGCCAGTGTAGGTAGCGACGATAACAAGACGGCTGTTGATTAAAGGCCCGTTTACACTTGCAAATTTTACTGCGATTTCTAGCGCAATTTTCTTCTTCTGATAGATGAGAACGAGTAGATGGGTATGAATGTTCTGCGTACAAGGTCCTTCATCTGGGCACAGATCTGAGCATTTATAACTCATCCACTCCTTCACATCCATCAGAAGAAGAACATCGCACGTGCTAGAAATCGCAGCAAAGATTGGCAGTGTAAACGGGCCTTGAGAGAGATATACGACTGCCTGAAAAATACAAGCAGAACCTCTACGTTTCGAGTTAAGGCCATTGAACTATTAGTAAACTGGAAGGCTAACTGCTATGATGAAGCCTATGATTCGTTGAAGCCAAAATAGTTTATCTGAGTTATGAGCAGAAATACTTTATCCCAAACGTTGGGCTATATATCAAACTGAAGCTTTTGAAAATTTCTATTCGGTGTGGAAATTTCAAGACTTCAGCAAAAAGAAAAAAACAACTGCCATTCGGCAAAAAATGACAAATTATCGGCAATTATTTTTGTAGTTTTTAAATATTTCCCTTTTAGCTAAAGTTCTAGTTTCATATCACAGCACATGTGTTGAGTATTTCTGCTCATAACTCAGAAAAACTAAAATGCACTGGCTTCAGTCTCCCCACCCCCCTGAGTTAGCATTCCAGTTTACTTATAGTTCAATGGTTAAGGTCTTTCGTTGGGAAGTTAGTCACTAATTATTCGATTAAGGGCCTTCGCTCGAAACGTCGAAATTCTGTATTCTGCACGTTCTTTTAGTTTTCTGGTAGTTTATGATAATCTTTCTCAATCCTCGACTGTTTCGCTATTAATATATAAGAGTATCATAATTTTATAATAGAATGTCTGTGCTTATAGTTTATAGTTCTTCGTTTCACTATCCAGCCCGTTTTTGGTATAGGTTTCTTTCATCTCGTCTTAACCAACAGGTTAAAAATTATCCAGAACCTCCCAATTTGTTCCGGTGTGTCCCCGTTCCCATATCGCAATACGCCTTTGTGGAAGTGATATTATATAGCAAAAACAATTTTCGATTATTTCGTTCTGTTTGTATAATTCAAGTCATGCTAAGGATGTTAAGAAAGAGACCAGCATCTTCCTTACATGTAACTGCATCTAAAAATAATTCTATTTTATTAAGTTACATCTTAAGTTATTATGTCGCTTGCATTGCTATACTGCCAAAGTTCCACTGTTAAGCTGGCTATATATAAGTATTAATCGGGGATCAGGCAGAATTTTGGAGCTTAAAAATTCCACATTCGTAGGGCAAATTTTATTCCGCACTCCATTTGTTGTTTTTCTAAAAATATCCATTTCCCACATCACATCTTAAAAAGTCCCCACTCCGCTAAGCAGTAAACATAATGATTATTCCATATTCGCTAAGCAAAAAGTAAATTAATTTCCACTCAAGAATTACGCTTCTTCGTCGTCCGAACGTATTCGAACCGTAAATACACCGTATACATACCTTCGTTTTTACAACTGGATCACTTGAAGCTAGAACAAATTGGAGTTTTGTTCTCAACGTCAGTTAATATATATATATATGGCAATTTCCTCCTGGGATTTTTTTCAGCTCACGGAAGGATTAACGAGATTTATATACGCGCGTAATTTACCTTGGCTACAATTTAAGGAGCCAGGTGATTTTAGTCAAGCGTAATTGCAGTTGCAATTGCAATAATTACTTGTAATAATTATAACATTTCATTTATAGTACGGGAGCGTTGATTGGTCGAGAAGCGTGTTTTTATAACTGTATAAAAACACGGAATATTTCCCGTCTTCATGCATGTCTTCACTGTGCGCTGCATACTTGAAAAATGGGCGATGTTATCAGTTTTGACAACCGATATAAGGTACCAAAAGACAAAAAGGTTATTCTCAGTTTAATTAAATAGGGAAGAACTTGGTTATTTCATACCTAAATTGACAAGCAAAGTCGGGCAATCGATTGCGTGGAATTTTGTGCTGAAGTAATGAGAATTTGTAAAATGATCAAACAAAATGGCTGTTAAAAGTGTTCTTCAATTATATTAATATAGTAATAGAAAACGGTTTTTCCTGTGTTTATATTCAGTCATAGGAAAACTTGTGGTAATTTTGAAGAACTTGAAATAACGTGGGATTATGATTATATTTTCTCGATCACCCAAACACCGACGGTGCATGATTCTATATTAAATATAATTAAAAATGAAAAGTGCAGTGACAGTTTCACTAATAGCACAAAGAACACATTTGACATTTTGTATGAAATTAATTCGTTCCATATTTAGTACTGTTTAAAGAAATAATAACAAACCGTTTTGATGTCCTTTTTAATAAACGTGTATTAGGACTTGCTATTAAACCAGCAGGTATAGGAATGATTATTATTTTCGTATTTAGTTTACAACTAAATATACAGATTATTTCTCATTATCGCGTTCTTTTTAAAATAGATAACTTCGTATAGTTTATAATTATTAGGAAAGGCATATTTTGCAATGAGAACGCGGGAAAAAGCCAAAAATCGGAGGAAATTAAAGAAACATGCACGAGGCCCCGGGACGTTCCATTTCGGTCAGAGTATTATTTATAATAGATGTTTACATCAAACCGGGACAAAAAATTGCTCAGACCAGTCTGCAGTCATCCCGCTCGCTGGACCGAACCAACGATCTTCACTACTTCAGACAGGGATAAATTTAGAGCGAGATGAATGTCAATACAAATAAGATTCCGCTGCAGCGAAAACCCTGACAAAGGCTGGTCACGTGACACCCAGATCCCCCCGGGCACACGACGTTGTTTCAACGTTGAAATTTGGTAGAAAAAAGGTTGCGACGTCGACAACCTAATATCTACGTTATTCTGACGTTGTTTTACAAACATTGGTTCAACAGCAGCCAACAGACGTTGAATTAACGTTCATTCATGGTTAAATGTACGTCGTCGATTTGTGAACCAATCTCAACGTTGTTTTAACGTGGATTCAACGTTGAATTATGGTTGACGAGATTGGCAACCTAATTTCAACGTTGTTTCAACGTCGAAACAATAACGTCGATCCAATTTGCATAGTCAACCCTTTTTCAACGTCTATCCAACGTCTGGAAGGTCATTTCCAACGTTAATTCAACGTTGGATAAACGTCATTTTGCCCGCTGGGATTTTGGGTGCTAAATTATGCGACTCAGGGACGGTAGGTCATCAAACGGCAAAACCATATTAAAAACTCTGAACTAAGATTTGCTTTATTTATTTAGATTTGATAATATAAAATAAAATTTCGACTACAATGTTATAATGACATAAAGGGCCTGAAAATGCAAAGTAGGTATGAAAATGCAAAGCTTTCGTAAGAGCGAAACCCGACAGCACAACAAGGCATGCAGCGCTCTTCACGATTTAATTCCATTTTACTGTAAAACGTTTTTGTCCAAAAATATTAGCGGTTTTCTCGTGTGGTTGCCAGGCAGCACACTCTGAACGACAATTTTTTAAACTAGCGAGATTAAGATATTTTTACACCGATGCCGTTATAACGTAAACAAACGTGAAACAAGTTACTCCAATAAATATTATAAAGCCAAAAAAATATCTGCATGACAAACGATATTAGCTAACCATGCATTAGTTGCGGTGGCTGGCAAGAGTTCATTATATATATAAATTAAGAGTGTATATACTGAATGGTTTAATGAAGCATGCACACTCAATTAGGCTACGACATTTCACTTTCAGTCTTGACAGCACTCTATCCTTCTTTATATCTATATGATTTACGTTTTGCGACAAGTATTATTTAGAACCCCAAAAGGTGTAGCAATTTGACATACTGCACAGTTAAGTAAACATGCATGGGGAAGTGCATCACTTATTATTAAAACCGCATAAAGGCAGCTATATTGTTTTATTATATTTTTAGTTCAACGACGATAAAACCAAACGGCCATATACAGTATATCGGTCATACTATTCAGACTATTTCATATGAAATGTACATCTTGTGTTGGCGCGGGTTAGATTCGAATAATAAAAAAGACAAACAATTATATAAATAATACCATAGTTGCCTCGAAATCCTTTGTCTCGCGAGGTACGATTAATCACTAATTTACCTCATTACCCATGCATACGCTTTTGTCTTCTAAATTTCCCTCATCAAGCATGCAAGGAAAAATTAGAAGACAAAGAAATCCTTTGTTTTCAACTAAATTTACCCGGGAAATTTAGTTGAAAACAAAGGATTTCTTTGTCTTCTAATTTTCCCCTGCATGCTTGATGAGGGAAATTTAGAAGACAAAAGCGTACCTCATTACCTCTGATTGGAGAGCTGTACCTCATCGAAAATCATCGGCACAACAATGGACAGTATCTGACGACACCGTCCCGTACACATTCGAACAATCACTTTGCCAGCTTTTATTCCCTAATCTTGAACATTACAATTGTGGGAGAAAATTCCGTTTATGCGCATGCCTAAAACGAATGAACACGGAGATGTGTTTCTGCACGTGCGTATATGTGAAAAGTGTTCGTACCACAATCATAAGACAATCAAACAGCATTCAAAACAGACAACACACCACGCGCGATTCCCTCGGCAACTATGATATTACAAAGTAATATATATAGCATGGCATTACGGTCGATTAGTGATGAAATGTCCCTCAAGCCTCGAGGGGTTTAGTAAAAGTCCCGGCGCTACGCACCTCGGGACTTTTACTAAACCTCTCTCGGCTTTCGGGTACATTTAATCACTAATCGACCTGAATGCCATGATATTACTTATAAAAATTACCCATTCGGCTAACGCTTGTTTACAACTTTTGAAATTTCACATGCACTTATACATATATTTGTTCAATTAGTAAACGAAAGCATCAAATAAAACAAAGCATTACAACAATTACACTATTTTATTGACGTTAAGGGATAATAATAATAATAATAATAATAGTGGGTTTATTAATTACACGTTCGATAGCAAAAAGCTAAATTACACCGTGTTTACATCGTCAGATATTAATTAGAATTAATTAGAATTATTACTTATTTAAAACTATTTACATCAATGGACCTATATGTATATTAAAATCGTTTATATATATATATATATATATATATATATATATATATATATATATATATATATATATATATATATATATATATATATATATACATATATGTATATATATGGAATTGTATAGATATGTATATAAATCTTACTTATCTAATTTAAAATTATATTCATTAATAGCATGAACTACAGGGCTGTTTCTAAAACGTTCAGTGTTGCAAAAAAAGTTATAAATCTTATCGCCATTTGTCCTAGTCTCTCTTTCCCTAATGTCACTCAGTTTCTTTGGCAATAGTCCGTGAAGTCTGTGTGATGGTTGTAACATGTTCTCAATTAAGGAGGCACATAAATTGTTTCTGTGTTCTTCTAAGGTCAGCAGATTGCTGTGAGATAATAGAAGTCCATAATCACAAAGGCCAGGATAAATTATTCGGAGGGCTCGTTTTTGGATTCTTTCTATGTTTTTCTTATGCATTTGTGTCAGACCACCACTCCAGATTTGTGCACCATACTCCAGAACAGAACGAATTACTGTACAATAGAAAGCTAATAGATTATTTTTTGGTGCACCATAACTCTTTAAAATCTTCAAGAGGTAAAGTCGCTTAGCGCCTTTTTTTACAATATACTCAGTGTTGGTTTTCCATCTCATGTCATCGTCTATCCATATTCCTAACAATTTATACGACTTTACACGGGATATTTTATCGTCGCCAATATTAATCAGTGGTATTTCTGTTTTCTTTTTCCGAAAATTAATTAGCGTTTCTTTACATTTTTTCCATTCAGTTCCATACTCTCATCCTTTGCAAATTGCAATACGTTATTTACACTTCGTTGGGTGTTACCAATTGGGCTACCAGATGAATGTAGAGTTATGGTAATGACTTCGGACAATGTACTATCATCAACGAACATAGCTATATCTTGATCATCACATGCTTCACATATCTGTTCCTGCTCATTAGGTATAGCGACTTGTGGGAGATGGTTAATTTTTAGGATAAATGCTATTGGACCCAGTTCGCTACCCTGTGGGATATACTGTTTTTGACGATATACGAAATTCTCAGATAATTCTACAAAGTATATGCAATGCTTTTCATAGTTAGTTCATTCCTTAAATTCTTCGTAAATTATCTCAACTCTCAAGTTTTGAACTTGGTATTTAAATAAGCGTTATCCGTTTATCAAATATGCCCGAAAATCCATATATAAATCGTCTCTAATCTCTATTTTTGTATTGATAGCAAATGTCTCCTGTCCTACCCCGCCCTAGTGACATACTTTCATGTGGCACCCAAAATCTGGGTGCCTCGTGACCAGCCTGTGTCAGGGTTTTTGCTGCAGCAGGTTTGAGGGGATAGCGGAAGTGAAAACCCTGAGTATCAGGTTGGGCATGACTGGGCAAACGCTAACTCTACCAAGTACCCAGCACAAAATTTGGCAGGAGCGCCATAATCGTTTCATTGACGAAAACTGCTCCAGAAGTCTTAATTTTGTTGATTCTAATTCCCACAATCGTGTGCAAGAATAATGAGACTCTTCACATTTTGGTGATCTTTTTCACGTGTATGCCCCTCTCCCATTAACAATGTTGAAAACATATTATTAGATGACCCTTGCCTCAAAATTGTTTTAACAACATTGCAAAAGGGGGAGGGCAAGAACCACTTGTTATAGGAGGGAGGGGATCATTAATTGAACTGCTTGTTTCAATAATTTTTGCGCGCGATTGTCTTAGCAGACGCCTGTATGGGATCCCAAACTTAATTTAATTTGTGCCAAAAATTGAAATTGACCCATTCTCGAGCAAAATTTTAAATTTTTCCGGATTTAAGCCCAGTGATCTAGTTCGAAATCGGACTAGAGAGACGCAGAACGGGGGACTGGGTACGAGTAAACGACCATTTTAAATTTATTTAAATTTGTTGTCGTTTACACACGAAGATGAAATATTAGGCGAAGTATTGGAAAATCCAAACCAAAAGGACAGAGCAGTGCCCGGCAAAAATCGAAAATTGTTTTAGACTTTGAGAATATATCTTAATTGTGCATTAATAAGAGGTAAGATTTTGCTAAATTGTTTAATATGGCTAAATGTTTCTGATCAATAATAATGTGATGGTCAACAAAAGCTTCACTGTAAATACAGCAATTATACGAAGTTACTTGTATTATTTACAGAGTATGGACCAGTCTGAGAGTATAATAATAATAATAATAATAATAATGGTATTTTAAAAACACATCATCGCATGAAAATGAATTACAATGTGTTTTACAATTGATTTGAATGGGAATTACAATACTAAGAGTAACTATGTTACAATGTATCATTAGATTATTAAATAAGAACTTATAACTAAGAACAATTATTTGTTTAAAACACTAATCATGCCAGGGAAAAACTATTTCTAAATCTATCAGTTCTACATTTAAAAGAAGCGAATTGTTTAAAATTTCTTAAATTATACACATGTTCGTTTTCCCTGGTGAGAGTTAGATGGGAAGACGACTACCCAAAGCAATATTTTTCATCGTCTTTTCGCAAAGTTCACCTCGACGTATATCCAGCCTAGGACACTGCAACATTTCTTGCGCTTCACCGTAGGATCGACCTGGCAGTATAATCCTCAATGCACGTTTTTGAATTTTCTCGACTTGTTCAGACAGATACATAGGTAGACCACAATGCCATACTGTACAACAATATTCTAATGTAGATCTAATCAATGCATAATAAATTGTGATAAGGTCGTGCGGTGGAATCCCTCCCCGTCGTAGGACACGTAGGATATGCAGTCGCTTGGATGCTTTGGTAACAATCATCGAAATATGTTCGTTCCACTTAAGATCATCCTGGATGATCAATCCAAGAACCTTGTGCGACGATACACATTAAAGTGACACAGATGATTTCCAGGTCAATACTTTAGCCTCTGCAAACCAGATACGAAGAACATACCTGGTTACGTACAACGAGGCAAAGTTTCGGGGAGCAAGTGGCTACCTACTTTGACGAAGGAACGGGAAAATTTAAAGTCGAGCACTGGGCTTGTTGCCAAGAGCCACATGAGAACTCTGGTGTACACTATCACATGAGCTTGAAACTCGATGGAGCGAAACGATGGAAACAAGTGAAAGAAAAGATGATGAAAAACCATGGGATTGTGCGGCACTTTTCCAACGCGCACGATAATTATCACTCGGCATATCAATATGTGACGAAGCAAGACACGGAAGTGTTTTTAAGTCCCAATCACCCCAACCTTAACGAAATCGGTTCTCCTAGAACCAAAACAAACATGTATCCGTGCATATCGAGAAAGTCGAAAGCGCAAACAAAACGAGAATACAAATGCCCAACAAGAAAAGGTTAAAGAAATAAGACGTCTCAGCAATTTCGAAGTCTCCGAATTTTTGGTGGCAAATCAAATAAAAAGTGAAACCGAGCTACTTGTACTTGCAGACACTCAAAGCAAAGAAGGGAAGAAAGACTTAGCCAATTTTATTCTGTGTCGCTCAAACAAAGCCATCCAAGAGCTTATTGATAACACCTGGCGCTTGCAAAATGCACGGGCTAAGCTTGATAGGAAGAAGAAGTCGCGTATAGACTTGCTTCGTGATGCTCGCAGTGCTGAGTGCGTCGACGGCTGCAACGGAGAATGGATCAGGTGTGCACGCGAGGTACTAAAGAACAACAACATCCATCCTGTGGTGTTTGCTTCGGCGCTGAAAGATCTTTTGACCAAGGGAAGGGGGAAATTCCGAAATGTAATGCTCGTTGGCTGTGCGTGCAGTGGAAAAACCTTCTTGTTGGATCCTCTGTGTCTCCTATTCAAAGCTTTTGTCAATCCGGCATCTGACAAGTATGCATGGGTGGGAGTGGAGGAAAGCGAGGTAATCTACCTCAATGATTTTCGATGGAGCTCAACTCTCATCTCGTGGAAGCAGTGGCGGCGCCAGGGGGGGCAAGGGGGGGCAAATGCCCCCCCCCAAATTATTTTTTGCCCCCCCATTTTGCCCCCCCTCAAAAAAAATTATTAGTCACTAAGAGCGACTAAAGGCTACACAAGCGTTCTGTCGTTATCGGAAAATGTATGGCTTATAAGTTGTCATTACTCATTAGTGAATGCGCGTATACATGAAACTGTTTTATACAGTTTCAATATTAGTTTGTAAATCTCTGAATGGTAAAACTTGCCAATACTCCAATAATACGTTTCAAAAAAAGACAAAAAAAGCTTTAGTTTTGCAGAGTTAAATTCTCAAACGTGTAAAGCAATAATAAGATGAAAGTATCACGAAATTATTTGAATAAACCACATCGCATATATGGGGGGCGAATGTCCTAAAGAGGGGCGATATTCCTAGGGTATTTGCCCCACCCCCCTGGGAGGCAATATTCCTAGGATATTCCTAGGAATATCGCCACGTTTTGAGGGAGGGGCGAATTTCCTGGGGGGCGACCTTTTTAAAAATTCTATCTTGCCCTCCCAAAATTTGAGTTTGCCCCTCAAATGCCCCCCCAAATTTGGAAGCCTGGCGCCGCCACTGCCTGGAAGGACTTCCTGCTACTTCTCGAGGGACACATTGTACATTTGCCTGCCCCGAAGAACCAGTACTCGAGCGACGTTTGCATTGACACCGACGTTCCAATTTTTGCCACTTCAAGCAACCCAATCGTCTACCACGGCAGAAACGGGCAGATTGACTAACGCGAAACAGAAATTATGTCTGTTAGTTGGAGGGTCTTTGAGTTCACCCGAAAGATCCCGCAGGCGGAGCAGAAAGACCTGTCTCCGTGCTCACGCTGTTTTGGCGAACTGGTGTTTTTGGGCGAACAGTTTTAACTTTTTTCGTGTAGCCAGCATTGTACGTTTACTATCAAATAAATATATATAAGAATAGATAACACGTCACGTACACGTTACGCACACGTTACGCCATACGTTACGTTTGAGTTTATATAGAATAGTAATGAAAACCGACACGTTACACACGTTACGCCCATTCTTATAAAGGTTGAATAGATCTTCCTTTAACATATTAGGCGTAACGTGTGTAGCGTGTCAGCTTTCTATATATTCTTATATGCTGAAAGGCGTAACGTGTGGCGTAACGTGTGCGTAACGTGTACGTAACGTGTTGAAATTGAGTTCTATTTAGTTTGTATACATATATATTATAAGGTCTTTAAAATAATTTTCACGGTTGACAAGAAATTGTTGAGTCCTCGTTTCTCAATGATCATTGCAACACTCTTGTTCATCGATTCAATGATTCGGTCGATAGTATTTTTTGACAAATTCATCATTGTGCTTTTAACTCTTTCTGAAAATGTTTCAAAGTTTTCTGACGTGATCTGTTTGTCAATGGCATCTTGGTCCAGCTGTTTTGATACTAAATGAAATAAATTTTCGATGGGGTTCAAGTCCGGACTGCGGGGTGGTATAGCAAAGGTCACTGCTCCGACTTCTTGGAAAGCACGTCTTGCTGCAGCACTGTTTTGAACTGGGTCCCCGTCTTGTAGAAACCGTTTAGCTGTTGGATTGGCACTGTCGAGAAAGATTTGCGGAAAATGAAGCCTTACGTACTCGGCAAAATCATCGCCTTTAAAACGATGGAACTATTGGTCGCAGGACACCACACCTTTTCCATAGGCGATCGAAACAAAGAAATGTGCCGTTCTACCCTCTACGCCAGCCTTTTTCCCTTTAGTTGTGCAGTTTAGTGGAAGGTCTTCGCATTTCCTTTTCCAAGCCATGGATTGTGTAGCTCGTGCCTGGTCTAAACCGTGGGATTTCCGTCCATTTGATGGACGGGAAATCTGATTGGTTGATCAGCATCATGAAAGATTTTGATTGGCTGCATGCAAGTTCACATAAACAACAGTTTTAAAATAGCTCGCTCAAGACGACAGTTAATATAAAGGTCAAACGCACGTAACAAATTCATTATCGATTTCTTCGAATTTCTTTTTCTTTTATGCTTTATGGCAGAAAATAAATCAAACAAACAGTATTTTGACAGGGCTTTATCAAAATCTTTGACGAATTTTGGACACACGACGCTGAAAAAACAGCCGAACTAGTCATGCATTCGAAAGCTTTTTGTTGACAGCCAAGATGTTCTGCCAACTGGCTTCGCCGGCAAAAGTCTTATTTTTAATCCCCGAGCCGGCGGCGCGAAGCGCCGTGCGAGGGTACTAATTCCCCCCGGCTATTTACACCCGGGGAAACGAAAGCATTAGCCAAGTCTAAAGTTCATCAAATATCGCGGGCGTGGGTCACTGTGCGTGGGTGGTCATCCTCACTGATCTCAAAAAGATGGCGGACTGTCATGGATATCGAACACTGATTGGTCAAATTTAAAATTTGTTGTTGTATGACAAATCACGACTTCAACTGACAGATACTTCATGAAAATAATTAACTTTTTGCACTGCAGTATTTTGTACGTTTGTAAAAAACTTTGACAGCTTTCAAAGCAATTTGCTCTATAAAGAGTTTAATAAAACAATTATGGTATCAAATACCAATTGAAAAGATATGGACTACTGTATGGAGCCAAATGAAGAGCGGCAAGGAAACGACAAGAAAGCCGAACGTCTCGCGAAAAGGAGGGAGCCAGCGAAGACGACAACCTTTGCTCGAGGAGACTGCTGAGGAAAGAGAAGCTCGCCTGGGAAAGCGTAGAGAAGTATGGAAAAAAAAGACTGCTGAAGCGAAAGGTATTAAAGCAAAGGCTTGTCTTCACAACGCTATGTACCAATGATACTGTAGCTATACAAGTTTAAGTATGATATTCGACCCTCTATATTCCACTATTTCTTCACAATTTTCCAATAAAGAGTTTGTCATGACACGCTCAAGTCAGTATAACCAGACTGTATTTTATTTATATCAGTTCATCACAGCCACAGGCAATTTTATGCTGTCAAATACCGTCGGTGGCAACTAAGGGTGAACAGTTGCAGATAAAACATTCTCTATTCTCATTAAAAAGCCTGTAAAAGTTTCCAGTAGGTCTCTAGCCCAACAAGTTCCGACAAAGTTTTGTTACTTATTTTTATTGCACACATGGGAAACAACAATTAAGTGTTGTTGTTCTTGACAAACATTGAAGATTCTAATCACGCGAATGTTTTTATGAGCGACTGTTCATCGTTAGTTGCAAACGACGGTACAACATACTATGAACATTTTTCCGACTGTGACCGAATGCGAGACCGAATGTGCAACGATATATTTTTCAAAGTTGTTAACAATTCCTAAAATTTGTTTATAGTAAAACAGCCTGCTCAGCACTCACTACTCAGGATGATTTCATTTAGAAATGCAGTTACCAGGAAAGGAACTGATTCTAAAATATGTAAAATTAAAAGCATTGGCTATTACGATGTGAAGACAAGGTACAAACTTTTATAGTTGCTATTTGTTATAAATCCTATAAATAAACCGATTCAACAATAATTTTGCCTCGAATTTGCATATTCTATGCTGCATGTTTATATTTTATTTTTATAGTATAAAAATAAAATTGTAATACCATGAAATAAAATACATTTCTGTTTATTGACCAGTACTTATTTAATGTCTTCTTCATCCAGCGGTCAGAGTAAATTTCTACTTCTAGCAAGTAAATATTTGACAAACAGTCTGGAATAAGCACAGGACTTTTAATGCATCAGCCAAATCCAAGTGTGCCCATCCCCCTCGCCCAGCCATTTTCCTGTAAAGTACATCCCGGGGGTTGGGCATTTCCACTCGAACCTTAGCCCCGGCGGGGCATTTGAAATTAATAATTTGGATTCTTGCACTTCACTTGTGGAATTAATATTAGAATGTTAGGGTTTGTAATCCAAGTGAGAATATATACATGTATATATTTTGTAATCCAAGTGAGAATATTTTGTAATCCAAGTGAGAATATACAAATGTACCGGTATAGTACATGTATATATTTGGTGTATATATTTTGTAATCCAAATGAGAATAGTTTGTAATCCAAGTGAGAATGTGCAAATGTATATATTCTCACTTGGATTACAAATCCTAACATTCTAATTTTAATTCCACCAAGTGAAGTGCAAGAATCCAAATTATCGAAGTCCACCTTATCACAACCCGCACACCCGATTACCTAAATATACATGAACTTACGGTTAAAGCTTGACAGCTGGTCTCTTGTAGCTCAGTTGGTTAGAGCACTGCACCGGAATCGCAGGGCCGTAGGTTCAATTCCTACCAGAGGACCTTGTGCTGCATTTTTCGCAGTCGTTCCTTGTTAGGGTCTTAAAATGTATATATTCTCACTTGGATTACAAACCCTAACATTCAAATATTAATCCCAACAAGTGAAGTGCAAGAATCCAAATTATTGAAGTCCACCTTATCATAACCCGCACACCCGATTACCTAAATATACATGAACTTATGGTTAAAGCTCAACAGCTGGCCGAGCTGTAGCTCAGTTGGTTAGAGCGCTGCACCGGAATCGCAGGGCCGTAGGTTCAATTCCTACCAGAGGACCTTGTGCTGCATTTTTCGCAGTCGATCCTGGTTAGGTCTTAAAATGTATATATTCTCACTTGGATTACAAACCCTAACATTCTAATATTAAGTCCACCAAGTGAAGTGCAAGAATCCAAATTATTGAAGTCCACCTTATCATAACCCGCACACCCGATTACTTAAATATACATGAACTTACGGTTAAAGCTCAACAGCTGGCCTCTGTAGCTCAGTTGGTTAGAGCGCTGCACCGGAATCGCAGGGCAGTAGGTTCAATTCCTACCAGAGGACCTTGTGCTGCATTTTTTGCAGTCGTTCCTGGTTAGGTCTTAAAATGTATATATTCTCACTTGGATTACAAGCCCTAACATTCTAATATTAAGTCCACCAAGTGAAGTGCAAGAATCCAAATTATTGAAGTCCACCTTATCATAACCCGCACACCCGATTACTTAAATATACATGAACTTACGGTTAAAGCTCAACAGCTGGCCTCTGTAGCTCAGTTGGTTAGAGCGCTGCACCGGAATCGCAGGGCCGTAGGTTCAATTCCTACCAGAGGACCTTGTGCTGCATTTTTCGCAGTCGTTCCTGGTTAGGTCTTAAAATGTATATATTCTCACCTGGATTACAAACCCTAACATTCTAATATTAAGTCCACCAAGTGAAGTGCAAGAATCCAAATTATTGAAGTCCACCTTATCATAACCCGCACACCCGATTACTTAAATATACATGCATGAACTTACGGTTAAAGCTCAACAGCTGGTCTCTGTAGCTCAGTTGGTTAGAGCGCTGCACTTGAACCGCAGGGCAGTAGGTTCAATTCCTACCAGAGGACCTTGTGCTGCATTTTTCGCAGTCGTTCCTGGTTAGGTCTTAAAATGTATATATTCTCACTTGGATTACAAACCCTAACATTCTAATATTAAGTCCACCAAGTGAAGTGCAAGAATCCAAATTATTGAAGTCCACCTTAAATCATAACCCGCACACCCGATTACCTAAATATACATGAACTTATGGTTAAAGCTCAACAGCTGGCCTCTGTAGCTCAGTTGGTTAGAGCGCTGCACCGGAATCGCAGGGCCGTAGGTTCAATTCCTACCAGAGGACCTTGTGCTGCATTTTTCGCAGTCGTTCCTGGTTAGGTCTTAAAATGTATATATTCTCACTTGGATTACAAACCCTAACATTCTAATATTAAGTCCACCAAGTGAAATGCAAGAATCCAAATTATTGAAGTCCACCTTATAACCCGCACACCCGATTACCTAAATATACATGAACTTACGGTTAAAGCTCAACAGCTGGCCGCTGTAGCTCAGTTGGTTAGAGCGCTGCACCGGAATCGCAGGGCCGTAGGTTCAATTCCTACCAGAGGACCTTGTGCTGCATTTTTCGCAGTCGATCCTGGTTAGGTCTTAAAATGTATATTTTCTCACTTGGATTACAAACCCTAACATTCTAATATTAAGTCCACCAAGTGAAGTGCAAGAATCCAAATTATTGAAGTCCACCTTATCATAACCCACACACCCGATTACTTAAATATACATGAACTTACGGTTAAAGCTCAACAGCTGGCCTCTGTAGCTCAGTTGGTTAGAGCGCTGCACCGGAATCGCAGGGCCGTAGGTTCAATTCCTACCAGAGGACCTTGTGCTGCATTTTTCGCAGTCGTTCCTGGTTAGGTCTTAAAATGTATATATTCTCACTTAAAATGTATATATTACAAACCCTAACATTCTAACCCTAACATTCTAACATTTGAAATTAAGGATTTGGAGGTTTTGCGATCACCGACAACTTGATAATTTTAGAAAACAAAACACTTCTATCTCCAACTTTTACAATCACTGATAAATTGATAATAATTTAAACCAGTCTAGCTGTAGTTTAAATACAGTAGAGAATAATACATGGGTGCACGAAATACCAGATTTATTTCGAGTGTTGAACATGAGTGCGCAGCGAACAAGTGAGCGCAGCGAACGAGTGAGATATCATGTTCAACACAAAAAATAAATCTGGTATTTCCAACCACCCATGTATTTTTCTGTTTATTATATAAAGGACAGTCTTAAATGAAAACAGAAAAGCGATAATTGAAAAGGCGATAAATTTTTACATGTGAGATTATCATGAATAATTTCACATCTGAGATTATCATTTTTGTCAGTGCTCGAAAACTCTGTAAAACACTATACTTTATATAATAAAAATTCATAAATTTGAACCATGCTAGAGCATGACAACAGCAAAATGCTCTATAGTATGATGCACAATATTTTGGGAGGTGATCGAAATACACGAACAATAAATCAGAGAGTGTTTGCTTGGAACTCACTGGGGGGGGGGGGGTGCAACACCCCTGATTATTGCTCATGATGAATTTCAGGTAGATTTCCAGTGCACTTTTAGTACGTACATTTAAGTAGATTTGCAGAAGATTTTCAGGGGAATTCAGGTAATTCTCAGGACATGACTGAGAAAGTGAATTTGGAAAACAAGTGTATTTTCGGAAAAATTATTATATGTCCTGAAAATTTTTTGTACATCTGGAAACTTTTTGGTAACCCCCCCCCCCCTCTATCTAACCACACACACACCCTGCGACGAAGTGCTCGCAACGGCACTGAGTATATATCTTTTGAAAACAGGCGAGGGGTTATTGCATGCATGTATTTCTAGTATCAGGTCCTACCGGCGTTGTTTTCTGAGCTATATCGCCTTCTTCGTGGTACGATTGAGAATTTCATTGTTGTTGTTATTAGCCCGTTAGAGTATATCCGCGTCCAGCAAGTTGAGACCTTGAGAAAGCTTGGCAGTCAAGCCGTGCACAAAACTGACTAATTTTAATTAGTCAGTAAAGACTTAAAAGTCTCTGTTTGCTGTTCGGTTAAATAGAGAAACTGGCTCTTAATTCTATAAAAGTACCTTGAATTTTTAAGTTTGATTAAAAAGCAAAATGCACACTCTGCGGACATGTTCATGAGAATATAATTTTTTTGTGTAACGAAATCTACAACAACACTTGGCAATCATATTGCATGCTGTGACTAAAAATAACATGTGAGCGTCCCACGGTCTAGACAGGTTTTGTGTCAGGCCCTATTTAAAATTAGTGCCTAAACTTCAGGTTACCCTTTATTGCCAGAAAAACGCGACATGCGATTACGCAACACCTCAAGCGCACGTATCCGGTTGCTTTTAATTAAAATATTTTTGTATAGAATTGTATTAGAATTGCACAATTATTTAAAATATTAGCTAAACTGTTTGTTAATCGGAACAAACGAAAGCAAGACATTATACAGTACATATCGGAGAATATTATCCACCAAATAGTTACCGTATAGCACAAATCGCGACTTGTCCCCTGCGAATTTTATGAAATTCAGTTTCCTATAAGGCCGTGACTGTAATAATACATGTCAAATAGACAGCAGTGACTATAAAACAGCCGAAAAAAAATAAAATGGACGGACAAAATTTACAAACGAAACCTGAACGTGGGACTCGAAGTTGTCTAGTATCGTGATATATAAATATTTCGTTCGCTTACCTTATTCCCGTTTGTCCCTCGTAAAATATATTTCAACGCACACGAAAGTGTTCGCAAATCCTCCGCTAAAAGAGCAAATATCTTGCACATTGAAACAGCCATAACTTCTCGAATATTTGAGGTATTTCAAAACTTTAAAGACCAAATTAAAGCTCGCTTTCAAAATTATAGTCTCCATGATGTTTTGTTTATGTTCGGCGCATAAAATAATATATATTCGCCACTGACCAAACCGTTGTGTTGGCTTCATGTTTGTGAGACTTCAATACTGTACTGGGCATCGGTATGCTTCATTTTCCCACGAAATTTAAATAACGCGCCAACTGCAAATGCAAAATGTCTGAGTATTTGAGCATCCTTAAGAAGCAAAAATTTAAGTCAGAGATTCAGTATTCTAATACAAATTCGGATCTCAACTATGCAAAACAATTGCTGGCAGACAAACCTTTTGTTATTTTATTTATTCCGCAAGAAATGCTACTATTCTGGCATGGTTTGAAAAGTAAGGTAAACGGCGTGTCGTTCGTCGACCTCTTACAAGCAACTCAACCACTACCGTTTATCTTAAAACAAAGTAATGCATTGGAGAAAAGAATAGCCGACCTCGCATATATTGCTAAACGTGAATGTCATGGTAAATCTGGTAGGAGGAGAGTAGAAGCGCTTGCAAAGTGTCGAAGAATGAAAGTGTGTGAAGCTGAAATTGTTGCCAATGCAAACGTGTTGCTGAGCGAGGTCAAGAAAAATGAGGAGACCATCAGACATTTAAAAGACGAAATACTTGAACTGGAAGAAAGATGTGCTGTGCTCTATGCTGAAATCCTGGAGGAAAGAGAGAAACAAAATAAAAAAGCAAAAGAGGCAAGAGATTGCGAAATTAATATCGATTTATTAAGGGAGGAAAATGAAGACCTTTTCAAGTACATTGAACATATTGAAGAGATCAATTCGTGTAGAAATTGTGCGGAAGATCTAGAAAATAAAAGCAGCACTATTCCTGAAGTCGGTGTTAGGCAACAACAGAGAAAATTAAAGGAGCTTAAAACAAGAGCCCAAAGAGCTCTGTGGTTTGTTGAGTCCTATGGTCTTTCCATACAGAGCCTATCACTCACAGACCCAAACAATAAAGCACTGACATTGGAATTAGGTACACAACAAGAGAACAACACCAAGTCAAAATTTGAAGATATTCCTCATGACGACCAAGAAAAGATCAAGATGGTCCTGCATATCATGGACAGATTTTGTATCGGTGATGCTGCTTACCATGCCTTGTCGGTTCAGGCGGGTGGCTTACCCAAAGGATACCTCATCAAACAATGCCGCAATGAAATCAACAAATTATTTTCTATAACCAGAACTCCTGGTGAGTTAGTCGGTGCACAGCTGAGTGTCCGGGATGAGCTAACACGACAAATCAGAGAAAAGGTAAATGTGCATTTTTAAAGTAAACAATAGGGATGGGTGGTGGTTGTGGTAGTTACCATGTCTGCAGCATTAGGTTGTTTCAGAAAAGATCTACATCATAACCCATATTGACATTAAACTCTTGTTTTCAGATGAAACAAGGCGAACATGACACCCACAAAGTGAAGATATCTGAGGATGGGGCAAAAATATCACGAATATCAAGCTACATTGTTATGTCATTTTCACTTCTGGCTGATAAAAAGGAAGTGATGTCTGTAAAAGGTGATTAAATGACTGAGAGTTCTGCACCAATCAATGTTTAGCCCCAGGGGAGGGGGATAGGCAACCCAGAGAGATTTGACCATCGCATGGCAGAGAAACATTAAAAAATGTCAAATCCCCCTGGGTTTGCCAGTCCCCCTCCCCTGGGCTTAACATTGATATGTGCATTAAATTAAGGGAACTTCCTACAGCACTGGTTGGAACCCATCGGTTAAATGTAGTATGGGCACTTATTCAACAATAACACTCTTTACCATTTTCTAACATGAATAATGTAGGTTTTTCTCTTTAGGAAACCATGCATTTGCCATAGTATGTGGGAAAGAATGCTATGAGAACATAAGTGTTTCTTTTCAAAAGTCATTTGATGAAATAAATGCACTTATTGAAGCCGGAGAAATTGAGGTGGATGGAAAGAAAATCAAATTGGAATTCTTTCTTGGGGGAGATTACAAGGTGATGACAATAAACAGTAGATTTTTTACTCAACAGTAGACACCACACTCCCAGACTGATAGGTAAATTGTAATATACTTCATTTTTATTATAGTTTCTTCTACTAATTCTGGGCATGAATGCAGCAAACTGAAACTGCTCCTGCATCTACTGCAAGATACACAAGGACGAAAGGTAAAAAAACTCAAGTCAACATTTAAAACATTGTATATAGTACACAGAGTTGCCCGCAGAGAAGGCTAGTATATTATTATGCTTGTGATGTTACTCTGAGTGTATATCCATACCGGGCAAGCTTGAAAAATATGCCTGGCCATACACACTCAAGAGTATACACTCAGAGTAACATCACAAGCATCATTTTCGCCTGAGTACATTGCACCAACACAGAAAAAATCATAGTATATTATTATTAATTTTAAAGTAAAGACAGTATGAATTAACTGTTCTCCTTAGATTTGACATGAGCAAGCCAGAATCATTTTATTGGTCCAAAAAACTACAAAGAACATTGGAAGACAATAAGAATCTTTGTAAAAATAAGAAAGACCACTATGGTTGCATTAACCCACCACTACTTAATATACCAATTGAAAATGTTAAGGTGGATGAACTTCACCTTTTGTTGCGAATAACAGGTAATATATTTTTACATATACTGTACAGTGTATTTATAGATACGCAATGTCTACCTAATATAAACTATTTATTAACCACAATATATTTACAAATCTTTAGATATATACACATACAGTATATACAAATGTATACATTTTATATACTGTATGTGTACAGTAACTATATGTATATGTAAGTCAAATTTGGTTAAATTTGTTAGAGAGTGCTCCATATCAGAGCAAAGTATACAGTAGGTGCCTCAGAGTTTGTCTGAATATTCCATTTAGGATGAAATGACAGTAGAACCGACATATTCAAGAAAATATCTATTTAAATCTTGAAAATCTTACATCCTTTACTTAACTATGCTTTTAGATATCCTTGAAAGAAATATTCTGCTTACTGCTATTAGGCGTGATTTGTGTGAAGACAAATCCAAGAGAGCCAAAGAGCCGAGAGGATTACACTTAAAAAATACTGTGAAAGTGATAAATTCTTGTGGTGTCACATTCAGTGTTTGGGAAAAATTGGATGGTAATGGGAAAAAACAAGCAAGTACGAGTGGACAAGCCTGGTCGGTGATGAGAAGAAAAAATTACTTCGGAATTTGCCTCACAAATTTGATAAATTTCTGAAACCAGAAACATGTGAAACCACAAAACAAATTTGGCAGGTCAGTAATTTGGTTTTAAAAAATTCCTTGATAAAGAGCCTTCACTCTAGAATATTTCTATATTTCAAGCTGATGAGAATTATACCCTATGGATTCCCATTTCAAGACCTTGGTTTAATTGTCGATGTTTAAGTAACTAATTGTATTGCTTCTGTTATTTTTGAATAAAGGACTTTGAAAAGTTATACAATATTATTACTGACTGGTCACCTACACAGGAACAAAAGGATTCTTTTTTTGGTCATGTATGTTTATCCATTCAGTTGAACCCTTTATACACCATAGAATTGAATTCAGTAACAAAAACAAATTTCAATATTCTTAGGCAACTGAATGGGTCAAATTATTCTTGACACTTAATTAAAGATAAAGAAGAAGGGTATGGCAAGGCAAATATAACTCCATACATACATGTGCTTGTGTATCACGTACCAAGGTTTTTTCAAAACTCTGGTGTTAAAATCTTTACTGGTCAGGGAGTTGAGAAAACAAATGATGTTGTTCGCTCCATTTATCATAATAAATCAAATAAGCATGAGGGATGTAAAGACACTCTTCTGGCACTAAAACGACTAGACTGTCTTAAAGATTATGAACGGATGCCAAACAAATATGTTAAAAAGAATGATGAATATTGGCCAACCGACATCTTTGAAGAGAGAAGAAAGCGTCCCCGCTTAAGTGACGCCTAGAAATGTATGAAGCTACATTGCTCACTATAGTAACATAATATATATTATATGTATATATATATATATAGCCCTTGCAATTCTTAACGGCAATTGTTATCAATAATGCCCTCAAATTACTGACATCAATTGCTTTTGCGAATACACTTTCATGTGCACTGCCATCTTGGCTTGATGAATTATTTATGCATGATTAAGATGGGATTGTTGTCAAAATTGCAAGGGCTATGTACAGATCAGTGTTCCGTTAAACTGTCTACACTGCAAGGGTTAGTTGTAACATAGAATGAAACAATCTCTTGTACAAATGAGGGAGCTTGTACAAGAGCATTGCTTTCATCTAGAATATAATGCGAAGTTGTCTTTCTCAGAATTGGTTTAGCTCTGATCGGAAAGTCAACTTTACTTCCTTCCCCATTCTTCTTTAAACAATACCACCATGATTCATCCAGCAGAGGCATCCTATCAAAATCATCTTTATCAAGAAGAACTGCACCTGCCATGTTTGCGGGATGTCCTTTTCCATTAAACAAAAAACGAAAAACATCATGGTCCATGTCAATGGTAAATATTGGATCCAGCGACTTGGACTTTAACTTCCCCTTTAACCTACACAAGAACTTTACCACGGCTTCATCCACCCTTTCGCTATTCTGTTTTGGATTGTCGTAAAGATACCTGTAAAAAATTTAACACTTAATTAAAATAAGGGAAATGTGTATTTGTAAATATAATCTCAGCTTTTGTATGTAAAATATTATACTCCTGTATAAACATAATTTTTAAATATACCGTATTAGGTGTTCAGGGATATGTTCCTGTGGCTCCCATGTGCATTCTGCCCTGGTATACCCATCCCACTTTATAAGATATTCTTTTGCCTGTTGAAATACATATCCATGTTCTAATTAACATGTAACACACGAACACAGGAACATCGCAGTTTTTTTAATCATGTCAATTTATAAATATATAAGCTCAGTTTCTCCTTAGCAAAAGTATCATGCATATCTATACATTGGGTTAATTCAAGACTAACAACTTAAATAACCATCTTGACTCTGACAACTGACTCAGAATATTTCAAATATACAAAGTCAAGTTGGCTTCAAATAGTCATACACTCATAGTGGGTGTAATTTTTCGCTTTTAAATCTGAATAATACTAGCAAGAAACAAGTTAAATAATAATCATGGAAGCCCTCGATGAAACTTTAAATCGAGTCGGCCTATCTAAGGCCAATGAAAATTGATATCATGTTTCTCGTCCACGATTTTCTAAAATTTGGAGCGGGATTTTTTCATTTTTCATTTTTCATTATTTTTTAATTTGAATTGCTTGTCAATAATTTCCTTGACCTAGTAAAAACGCCCATAAAAATCTGAAGTAAATCGGTGTATAATTCATTTTAATTTAATACGTTCTACACTACAGTAGGCTATATTTATATATATACCAGGGCTGACGTGAAAAATAGAGGCATTCTGGCGAGTAATATCTTTAGAAAGATACAATTTGAGTTGCGCTTGCGGAATGCAGCAATAAGACTTTGATCTGGAGATCAATTTGGTGTTTTGTTAAATTAAGCCTATTTTTCAAAAATAATGAATAATGAAAAATTTTCGTGCGGCAGATAAATCCCATGCGGGCGGGGACGAGAAACATGATATCAATTTTCATTGGCCTAATGACCTAGCAAAGTAAAAACACTCGACATATTTAATAAATTATGAAATTAGCAACTGCACCTACCGTTCCTTGTCCTCTCCTCGAAATAATTCTTTTGATGAAGAAATTGCCTTCAAGGCAAGGTTTCTTTACCGGCAGTCTTTCGCATTTCACGGCTGAGGGTGTATTTAACAGTTTAAAAAAAACCGTGCTGGCCTTTCTCTTTTACCCGCCATCTTTGATATCAGACACCGAGCAGCGCAATGCGCGTGCGCCCACAATATAAACCACTGACCAAAACAACTTTGACTGTGGATTCAAATGTCGCGTTTTTCTGGAGATGGCGGTTTGTCAAATGTCGCGACTTCGTTAATTGACAGTTTAGCGTGTCGATAAATCGTTGCGTTACTGTACTTCGGGAAACGTTTTAATACTGGTTCATTTCCCCGAAGACCTTTGTCTTGAAACAAATACCTCATGTAAATCGAGGTTTCTTTTGGGACATACGCTTTTGATTTCATCTTTCATGGTAAAACTTAAAGTATATATAATGAAATTGACAAATCGCGTTGTTTACATTTTTAACTCAAGAGTCTTTACGAAAAAGTTAATTATTGATTTATTAATTTTTTATCAAAACGATGCTATATAAGGCGAAGGGGACAAAACTGCCATTAATTTACATTAAATACATTAAAAAAACGCCCAAGTTATATGGCTCAATGAACATGCAATCCTATATCGTATTTCTCTATTTCAGCTGTATTTAAAATATATATTTTTGTGTTTTAATAACACACCGTCAAAATGGTTATTATTCGAAAAATTCGCTAATTAATTTATGGACTATTTATGGATATTTATGACATCATCATGACGTCATCCTGACGTCACAATTTATACACACTATAGGGAAAATCCTTAGGCACACACCGAACATATACTAACAGTAAACAAAGCCTATTGTGATTCTTATTTACAGTAAAGCGGAATAACCGTACTAGAATTATCATGACTAGAAACTATATAGACAATCGTGTACAAAAATAACGAGACTCTTCACATTTTGGTGATCTTTTTCACGTGTATGCCCCCCTCTCCCCATTAACAATGTTGAAAACATATTATTAGATGACCCTTGCCTCAAAATTGTTTTCACAACATTGCAAAAGGGGGAGAGGGGGGGGGGGGCGAGAACCACTTGTTATAGGAAGGAGGGGACCATTAAACTGCTTGTCTCAATAATTTTTGCACGCGATTGTAGATGCTGACTATAAGATGGAATAAAGCATGCATGTGTTGTCACACAACTAACCGGCGTCTTGCCGGGCTGGCCCGCCAAGTGCGCCATATGAGAAAGCGAGATCTCGATTTCTTCGGTGCCGAGCCTGGTAAACAGGGTGGGATCTGTTCCCATGTGAATCAAATCTGGAAAACCATTGTAGAATAACATCTATAGGAGGCGAGATATTGCTCCTTTCGAGTCAGGCCAGTTTACCAGGTCAGCCGGATTGAACTAATGAACAAAAAGAACAAGCCCTTAATGATGTCGATAAATTTGCTTCAAAGACGAGACAATCATGCATTAAATTGACATTACGCTGCCCTTATAATTATTATGATCTTATATGCTAAATTAAGGCCAAAAATGCCTAACAATTGACGATTATTTCGTAGTTGGTACTGTAATTAACTTTGTTCACAGAGACATGAAACATCTGTGTTAGATATTCTGAAGCCATACCCCTAAGTGTTTTAAATATCATCACTATATATAAATATATTCTGGCTTTTTAAATTAATATTGATTGTATCTTTATCCATTTGAGCATTTGAAAAATTTTAGTAAATCGTTCTTCTAAGCCCCAACTGGTAATGACCCATTCGTCACGCTTTTGCAGTTTAAGCATTTTTCGGCATGCATTTTATTACCATCATGTCATATAGTTGAAGTAATATTTCAAATCCGGCTATGAGGACTAGACGAGATTTCAAGTCCGCGGCTCCGCGCAATTTGATCAAGACCGTGGCCGAGAACTAGGGGGCCATTCACAAAGGATGTCCGGCCAAATGATGGATTTTCAGACCCCCCCTCCCCCCCTTGTCCGGCATTGTCCGAATTAGTGACCCCCCCCTCTCCCCTCCCTCCGGACATCCACCATGCCTCGAAAAACTCACACAACCATGTATATGTCAAGAGTAAAAAACTTTTTACTTTTAGAACTTTTTTATAACTATAAATGTGAATACAAAAACATATAAATTACTAATTAAAACAAAATCTAGTGTTAACCGCAGAGTCAAAATGCCAATTTCACAATGAGAAGGACTGCTCAAAATAGAGGGAAAAAGAAATTTGTTTTTGAATTTTTTAAAATTTCGGACATCCGGATTGCTAAAACCCCCCCTCCCCCCCTATGTCCGAGTTTGTCCTGATTTTCCAAACCCCCCTCCCCCCCTTGGCCCGGACATCCTTTGTGAATGGCCCCTAGATCAAAAAGCGAGGACTTGAAATCTAGTCAGCCCGAATAAAATGACATCTCATACGAATAAATCACTACTTACAGTGAGGTGGATTACTCTCGATCTATAGTCCAATGACTGAATTAATTTTTTTTTATCCAGTCCTAGAACAGCATCAATATACTTCACCAGATATTCAGCATTATTATATACACAAGGTCTGGATATGAGGTATTCTGCAATCTGATTGGTTCTCTACTAGCAGGATATTAGCTCATATCCTGCTAGTAGAGAAAAAGAAAATGGCAGCCAAACTGAATTTACGATGTTTTGCAAACGAGAAAACGGCAAGTTATCGCTTTTTATAGCCTTCACAGGATTAAAAACACAATGAAAAAACTCCCACAAATTGTTTTCAGGTTAGCAAATAAATTTTTAATATTCAAAATGGTTAAAAATATATATTTTTGCAAAATAATCGGCCGAAAGAGCGAAGATAAAAACATAAACAAAATAGAAAAATGTTGAAAATATTCGAAAAGCAAAGTCTGTGAATTCAGACCTTGTGTATATAATAAAACAGTTATTCCACTCACTCTCGTCGAATATGAGCCATAGCCGATTCGGCGCTACGCGCCTCATCGGCTATCAGCTCATATTCGACTCGAGTTCGTAGACTATAACTGTTAAGTATCATGTGGTCAAAATAAGGCAATATGATTGGCTAAATCACAATTATGATCTCTAATTTTAATAATAAGGTCATTTTTGTCTCACCCAATACTGAGCCGATTATAGCATATACACGGTTTTTTCTTCATTTAATGTTACTTTGTTTGTACCCCCAGGTAAGTAAATTTTCTGTTATGCATTAAAATAAAAGTGTACAAATATGTCGGAATGATATTTACGATGCTGACTGTTGATAAATCACCTAGGGTCAGGCTATACTATAGCCTATAATGTGAAATAAGGCTGCGTGTAATAAGACTCGTGTGTTGTAAAACAAAACGTTCTTGACATCTTAGAGAATAGCGTGAATAATATTCAACCTAGATTTTCTTTATGATCAAAGTATGGCATGATAATTCCATATCGAAACGTCGAAATCTATTTGCCGTCTTTATAGATCTTGGCAGTATAAAAAGTGCGGCGGCTTCAATGGCTGGCACTTATAGCCTACCGCCTTTCCCTAGGCCCTAGTGCGCATATATGAATCTGGCACAAACGTTTTCACCATTTTCACCAAGATATATATATATATATATATATATATATATATATATATATATATATATATATATATATATATATATATATATATATATATATATATATATATATATATACATATTCTTCCAAAAACAATAGTTGCATTGACACCATTGTCTTAGCTATGGGACATCTTTCTGACACAAGAGTTTTCACTAAAAGAATTGTAGATATTATTAAAAAAACTAGAGCACTATAGCCGGCAACGCCTTACTCTAACGTAGCGTGTTGTAAAGAATAATTTAAGCTAGACTCCTTTTAAGCTTCTACTGGT